GCTCATCTGGGCTTGTTGGATGCTGGTACAGAAATTCTTGTTCAAAGCCAGGAGTGAGAAGGAAGGACTCCAAAATGGGACACTGATAATCTTCATTTCCTGTAATTCCTGGATGCCCACAGGGAGATGAGCACAGGAGGTGAGTTTTGCTGTGACATCCATAGGCTGGAGCCTCTGGATGTGTTCTTGCTCCACCAGACAAGGGATGATGGCAGAGCTCAGCTGTGTTTAACACTCCCATGAAAACCAGGAAAAAAACCCTAAAATGCAACCTGAGTCTCTCCAGACAGGATTTCAGGCTGTTTGTATAAATTGTCCCCTATGTTTATAATGCTGGAAACACAAACCAGAGCGAGTCCTGCTCCAAGATGAGAGTGAATCCACCTCACTGACATCCCAACCCAGAGTTTTCCTCCAGGACAAACCCAAAGGCTTCCAACCCAAATGCCCCCAGACCTCGAGGTGCTCATCCCACACCAGGGCTTGGCTTCCCCAGAAGGTGGTGACCACAGATAAAACCCCCTTTTGATCCTGCAGGCCTGGATTGGGCAGGAAAAAGCTCTCTGGAGGACTCAGTTTAATCCCAGCACAGCCCTGCTGATCTCAGCACCTCCCACGAGTCCACACACGGATAAAATTGAGGCACCTTTTCCCATGGGAGCAGCTCACGGGGCATCCTGGAAAGATGCCGAAGGCACCAGGGAAACACAAATGAGTGATTCCCTCTGGACCACTCGGATTTCATCCCTGGACAAGCCTGAGTAGGTCTAATTAAAGAGCAAAGCACCAGAAGCTCAGCAGGCAGAGGCACGAGGACGTGGGCTGACGGTGGAGCAGCACTGCCAGGCTTCATCCTGCATCCCAAATATCCAGCACTGGAGAGGGGATGGATAACCTGCATAACCTCAGCTGTACCAGCCCCCTCACTCAGAGAGGGAATGGCAAAATCCCAGCTCCTCTTCTGCTCCCTCCTGGGGCTCCCAGCCCAGCTGACATCGCTGCTTCCCTTCCCTCCTCTTCTCCCCTGAGCTCCCAGTTCCCCCCCGGGGAATATTTCCATCACTTTGGGCTAAAAACAAGCACTTCTGGCTTTTACCACCACGTGGAGCAGGGCTCCTGCTCCCCAGGGGCGGGAGGGGGGAGGTCCCCGTGCAGGGATGCAGGGAGGGCTCTGGGAATGCTGCCGCCAGGGACGGAGCTGCCTGGCAATAGGATATCCCTGAGGAAAGATCCATCAGCTCCCTCCCCACGCTCTGACACTCGGGCTGGGCAAAGCACGGGAGTGGGAGCAGCTCTGGGACAGCAGGAAGGTCCCATCCCTGAGGCACAGCCCTCCCTGCTCAGTGGCACCAGGGAAATGAAGAACTCCCAAAAATCACTGGTGATATTCCAGCTGTGGATGTTTTCTGTGGGAACAGGGCAAATCCCGAGGGCTGACAGTGCTGGCAGCTCCAGGAGAGGGAACAGCTCCATGAGCCAGCTCAGCACCAGCAGTGAGAGAGACCCTCAGCCCACATGGTTTGGGTGGGGATGGGGATTGTTCCTTAAAGAGAATTCCCCTGAGCCCACCCCTGATCCCCCAGGCTGGGGATCCCAGAGCTCCCAGGGGGGAGATGCTGTCCTGCATCCCAGGGAGGGATGGAGACATCCCAGGGAGGGATCCCACAACACCCCAGGGAGGGATCCCACAACATCCCAGGGAGGGATCCCACAACATCCCAGGGAGGGATCCCACAAAATCCCAGGGAGGGATCCCACAAAATCCCAGGGTGGGAAGGAGGATTTCCAGCAAGGGATCCCAGCACATCCCAGGGAAGGGTGCAGGGAGGGGTTCCACCAAATCCCAGGGAAGGGTGCAGGGAGGGAGGGAGGGAGGGAGGAATCTCACTGAACACCAGGAAGGGATGGGAGCTTACCAAGGAGGGATGCAGGGAGAAATCCTGCCACATCCCAGGGAGAGTGCAGGCAGGGATCCCACCACGTCCAAGGAAGGAATGGAAGCTTCCCAGGCAAAGGTGCAGGGAGGGATCCCACCACATCCCAGGGAGTGATGGAAGCTGCCCCAGCCACTCCCAGACCAGCCAGGCGTTTCCAGCCTGTGGGCTGTGACCTCTTCCAGGGCTGGGGAGCAGCCCCACCTCCACCCCCGTCACTTACTCACCTTTAATTAACTGATTAAGGTAACCTGGTGTGGTGGGAGGAGAGCAGGCATTTCCCTGGGGAATTTGGGGTGCTGGGTGAGCCCCTCTCCCCCACACTCCTCAGTCCCTTCCACTGCATTTGGATCCTTTTTGAGTCCAAGGGGGAAACTCAGCCCCTTTGACATGAGGGGGATGGAAACCCCTCCCCAGCCCCTTGGAGAGGGCCCTGTACCAGGGATGAACCAACCCTGCTCTTGGAGCGAGGGAGGTAAACAGGAGGTGATCCAAAGGGAGGAAATTAGGATGGTGGAGCCCTGGATAATGGAGCTCCCACTGTAACCTTCACTTAACTGCTCCAACACTCCACAAGCTGGAATTTTGCATAACAAACATGTTACCCACCCCTCCATCCCTTTAATTCTTCAGCAGTTTCAGGCTCCCCCCTCCTCAAACGGCTTTTCATCCCCTGCTCCAGCCTGAGCATCCCTGGTGGGAGCTGAGGGACCCAATCAGAGCTCCTGGGACAGGGACAGGAACATCCTCGGGTCTGCCAAGCATGGGGGTGGCACAGGGATTCGTGCCAAGGGAAACCCGAGGAGCTGTAAGGATGCTGTGGGCTGTGGGCTGCTGGGGGGGCACAGGGGGCCAGCTGGGTGCCTGCAAGCACATCCTGGGCTGGGTGCCACCCAGGGCTTCGTGGCAGAGTCTCCAGGAATTTCTGGAATGCAGCGGGACGGCCTCGGGCTCAGCCAGGCACTGCAGGAGCCTCGTCTCCCAGCACGAGGTCCCTCTTCTCCACCTGCCGCTGGTGGCACCTGGAGAGGGCCATGGTCCAGCTGGGAATGGCTGAGAGGGCAGCAGGGTGTCCTGAGGAAGCAGCACTGAATTTGGAGGAGGCAGGATGTGTGCAGGCACCCAGATAATTCATTCATTTTGGGGAGCAGAGCCAGCTGAAGACTTTCCAGGCCACCAGCAGCAGCTGGTGCCTCCGGTTCCCTGGGGAGCCCCAGGCATGTGCTTCCCCCAGGCCCCTGGATACTGGCAGATCATCTCCTTCTCACTGCAACTCATCCCAGGAAGGGGGTGGGAAACCTCCAGGACACCCTGCTCTCCAGGCAGCAGCCACTCACAAGGGGTGGAGAGGCCCTGCATGGAGGCAATCCAGCTGTTTTCCTCCATCCCTGCGCAGATCCTGGGAGCATCATTGGGATTCTCCAGCGTGGTGGCTGTCGCAGCACTTTCCCCACCACCCAGTGACACCCACTCAGCTCCCAGGGAGCTGCCAGGGAAGGGACCAAAAGCCAAGGAGGGAAGAAATGCATGCAGACACCCTGGAATCTGTGCAGGCACCCTGGGATCAGAGGCATGGCTGGAAATGCCCATCCCTGAGGGAGCAGAGCTGGATCCACCCCCCCTGGGCTGAGCCAGGGGCCAGAACCACCTGCCCGAGGAGCCAAGGGCAGGGCAGGGCAGTGTCCCCATCCTGTCCATGGTGCTGTGTCCCCCCTGGGCCCTGGAGCACCCTGTCCTGTGGGGGAGCACAGGCCAGGGCAGGAAAGGGGGACAGAGCTTCTCTGGCTGACCCAGGAGATGAACCCCAAGGTTTTGCCCCAAAAGTGACCAAACCCCAACAACCTTCCCCCCGAGCACCCCCAGCTCCAGCTGCCTTCCCCTCTGCCTCCCAGCATCCCAGTCTGGGGAGAAATGTTCTGACTCCCCCAGTTTCAAAAAGTGTGAACCTGGCTCAGCTGTCGTGGTTTCACCTCCAAAACCTTCTTTTTTTTTTTTTTTTTTTTTTTTTTGGGGGAGGAGATGGTGCTGAGGGGATAAAGGGTGGAGACAGGGAGACAATGTCCATTCCACCCCCACCCCCCCGTTACATCTCCCACCTCTCCAGCCTGGCCGTGCCCACAGGGACATCCCAGGAGGAGCCCCCTGTGACAGCAAGGCCTGAGGTGTCCCGTGGTGGACACCCCAAGGTCACGGGCTGGGAGCATTCGGGGTGAGCCCAGCACATCCTGCCTCTGCCACCTCCCCGGTGGCACTGCCGCGCAGCCAGGGGACAGGAGCCAGCTCCGGGGACCAAAGGGACCCGGTCCAAGCATCTGCAGGGGCAATCTGCCAAAATGATGCCCTGAAGGTGGGGAGGAGGAGTTGTCCCCGGGGGAAGCCCTTTCCTGCCGACAGGATGCCGCCCCGGGAGGAAGCACCAGACGAGCGTGTCCCCTGCACCGAGCGGGTCTCAGCTGTCACTGCATGGGGACCCCCCGGCTCCCCGGGCCCCGAATCATCCGGGAAGCTCTGATCTGGGAAGCTGAAGGCTGGAGCTGGAGCTGGGGGAGGAGGGGAATTGTGGCGGTCCCTGAGATGAGGACAGGGCAGGGTGAAAGGTGGAGGGGGCAGTGGTGACCCCCAGACCTGCCAGGGAGGAGAGGGCAGGGGGTGGGTGCCAGGGAGGGACAGAGGTGCCACCACGGGGGTTGATCTGAAGTGCCCACCCTGAGACAGATGTGCCTTGCTCGGTGCCTGACCAATGCTCCCCCAAATCCTCCCCGGAGCCCCCCGCTCCCGGTGGGATGGGCAAACCTCCCAAGCCCTCGAGAGACACTCCCTGCCCTGCTCAGCACCGCAGCTGCCACAGACCTTCATCCCCCCCAAGCCCCCCTGCCCCCCGAGGTGGTGGGTGTCCATCCCCTACCCCTTCCGCCTCTCCACCGGGGAGATGTCCAGGGGGACACTCCTTTCCCGGGATGGGCTCCCTATCCCCAGGGAGGCTCCTGTTCCCCGGCCCCCAGGAGCACAGGGCAGCCCCGCCGTGGCCCAAGGCCTCGGTGCCACCGCGGCACCGTCAGCGCTCACCTGGTGACACCGGCGGCACCGGCACGGGTGTTGGTGTCGGTACCGAGGATGGTGTCGGGGTCGGGGCCGGGGCCGGTGCTGATCCCGGGGCCGCTGTTGATGCCGGTTCTGGTGCCGGTGCTGATGCCGGTGTTGGTGGGGGTGCCCGTGTCGATGCTGATGCCGGTGGTGGTATCGGTGTCGATCCCGACGCTGATGCCGGCGGTGATGTCGGCTGTGGTGTCCCGGTGGTGATGTCGGTTGTGGTGTCCCGGTGGTGATGCCGGCGGTGATGTCGGTTGTGGTGTCCCGGTGGTGATGCCGGTGCCGGCGGTGCTGCCGGTGCCGGTCGCAGTCGGGCGGCCCGGGGAAGGCAGGCAGGAAGGCAGGAAGGATGCTCGGCGCTCGGCAGGAGCCGCGGGGAATCCTCGGGCTCCAGGCGGCCCTGGGGCACCCGGGGCCGAGCCGCCGCCGCCGCCGCCGCCTCCCGCCCCGCGCCGCCGCTCCCGCCCGGCCCGGCCCCCGCTCGGCGCGGGGGGGACCCTCCGCCGGCCCCGCCCGCCGCCCCCCCGCGCTCCCCCCGCCGCCGGGGCCGCCCCCAAACCCCCCCCCGGCTGCTGTGTCCCCGTGTCCCCCCGCGCCGAGACGTGGGGGGAGGCGGCTGTGACACCCATCTCCCCCCGGGGCTCCCCGTGACTCTGCCCCGGTGGGTCCCCCAGCCCGGGCAGGGGGCTCGCAGCCCGGCGTGGGCACCAGCCCCGCTCGGGGAAAAGGGCGATTCCCCCCAATTTCTTCTGAATTCGTGTTCCCGGTTGCAGTCCTGGGGGAAGAGCCCCACGGGGGATGGGCTGAGGGGGCTCAGCTCGCCCACCGGGACAGCTCGGCCCCAGCACACGCTGCTCCTCGAGCATTTAGTGCAACCAAAACCAATCGCCAGGCTCCAAAAAAATAATGAAAAAATGTGTGGCTGCACCCCTGTGGTGTGTGGGGCATGAGAGGAGGGGAGTGGGGGGCTGGGAGACCCCGGGTCCGGCTGGTAAATCCAGAGGATCATGTCCCAGCCCCACGCCGTGCCCAGCACAAGGACTGTCCCCGCTGGAAGGACGCTGGACACAGAGGAGATGCCACCAGCTGCTCCTGGCCTGGCACCGGTGTCACCCTCGGGGGGGGGACACGGTTAATGCCGAGAGTGTGGGATGGGTGGGGACAGCGAGGTGGGGGAGGCGGCCGTGACCAGAGTGGGAATTAAATTCAACCGGAATTTGCACACAGGGCCAGCAATCACCTCCCAAAGCTTCCACCAGCATTCCCACAGCCGGGACACAGCGTGGGTTTCCTCCAAAATGTCCCTCCTGGCCCCGAAGGTGGATGTCCCAGGGCTGGGGGAGCGGGGTGTGCTCTGGGGAGAAACCCCCTCCCCCCACTGGGTGATGTGGTCCCGGCCCCCCATCCCTGCACTGGGGTGCAGCTCCCAGCAGGCGTGCATCCTCATTTGGGGTCATCAATTTGGGAACAGCCTGGGGGCACGTTCCCAAATTCCTGGCTCTGCCCATCCCTCCTGTCCTTGCTGAAGAGGAGGGTCAGGGCGGGCACCTTGCTCCGGGAGCTGAGTGCAGGGCTGGGGGGCGCGTTCCCAAATCCCTGGCTCTGGCCAAGCTCCTCTCCTTGCTGAAGGGGAGGGGTGATGCTCGGCGCCTGGAGCGAGGTGCCCATCCTGCCCCTGCCCTGGGGAGCTCCCGGGCCATCAGGAGAACCTGGCAACCCATCCATGCCCGGCAGATGTTGCTGACCCGGGAAGGGCGATGCTTCCCTGATCTCCGCACCCGCCAGCAGGGCAGATCCGGCCGTGCCTCTCCACGGGCAGGGACAAGACCCTCCCAGGCAGCCAAAACACGGCTGGGCTCATCCCTCTGGTACCCCCAGCTCGTGGGGCCGCATCCCCGGGAGGCAGCGGGAGGGACACTGTGCCCCTGTTCGCTCACGCGTGTGACGGGCGGTGGCAGCTCCCGCGCGGCCGCCGGGGAGCGGAGCCTTCGCCAGCCGCTATTTTTAGCTGCTCACGCTCCGCTTTCTCCTTGACTGTCTCCCCTCTCCGGAGCAGTCTCGGGCCGAGCAGCCGCGATGTTTATCCTGCCTGGCACCTGATCGGATGTGACATCGGCTGTCGCGGGTGGAGGGGACGGCTGCCAGCCCCCTGCCATCCCTCTGCTCCCGGGAGCGAGGGAGGAGATGCTGGGATGGGGAAGGGGAGAGGGAAACCCGTGGGCGTTTAGAGAGCCACCCTGGGGTGGTTCTGCCTTTCTCCAGCTCCTGGGTGGCTCCAAGGGATGCTCTGGGGGTGCTCAGGGGGAGCTGCAGGCTCATTTCCACCAAGGCTGAACACTTCCCTCTGTCAGGGTGATCCTTTGGAGATGGCTGGGATAGAGGAGCTGGGGAAACTGAGGCACACAGGAGGTGTGTGAGTCCCCCCGTATCCCACCAGTGCATTGCTGACATGGAATAACCCCTCTGAACCTGCCTGCACCCTGATGAGGAGCCCAGACTCCCAGCTGGAGCTCACACAAGCCCCAGGGATGCAAAAACCCAGGGAAGGGAAAAATTATTCCCTTATCAGGCAGCCCCCACTGGGACTTGGTCCAGGCCAGTGCTGCTGTGCCTGGTGCTGCACCAGTGTGGCTGCTCTGCTCTTCCTCTGCTCTTTCAGCTCCTGCTCTGGGGCTTTGCAAATGTTGGGATCCTCTTCCCAGGATGTTCCCAGCAGGAGGAGCATCCCTCTTGATGGGATACCTAAAATAAACCATCCATGTTCTCCCAAGCATTCTGAGGGTCCCTGCTTTATCCACCAGGGAGGTGAAGCAAGAGAGGATGGGCTCAGACCACCACCCTGCTGTGCCACCTGCTCTAAATCCTATTTTCTCCTAAAAACCGGGATCCAGAACAGGGAGGAAATGGGCTTGGGAGAGGCTGTTCTCCTTCTCCCGCGGCTGCCCAGCTGCTTTATCCCCCTGGAACAGGAGAGCCATTAACACCCCCCTGCCCTCGAGCTGTGCAGGGCTGGGGCAGCCCCTGGGGTGGAGGTAGCAGGGAAGGAGAGGGGCTGTTTTCCACCCTCCTACCCAGCACTGCAGGCTCAGATCTGGGTTAAAAGTCACTGCTGAGGTGACAGCCCTTTGCTGTTCCCATTTTAGATGTGTCTTTCCCCTTTCCAGCCCGGATAAGACCCTGGTTCCCCGCTGGGTACACAGGTGACGTGGAGGAAAGATTATTCCTGAGATGAGGGGCTGCGTCAGTCCCTCTGTTAAGGTGCTATTTTGGGACAGGTCACAGGGTTTGGGGACCTGCAGGTCGTTCCCTGGCTGGGAAACTGAGATTTTCCATGAGCCTGAGCAGGACACGGTCTCAATACCACCCCTGGGGGGAGAGACCAGTCCTGGAGAGACGGATGGATCTGCAGAAAACAGGCTCATCCCTTGGGAAAAAACCTTCCTGCCCGTGAGACCTCAGGGGTCAAAGGAAGTGAGAGCATCTCATTGCTTGGAGGATTTAAAACAAGAGGGAAAATGCCAGCAAACACCTCCCAGGGAGGTGCTTTGTCACCAGGCAGGGCTGGAGTGTCCCACTGAGAAGAGAGTCTGGACATCTCTGACAGTCTGGACGTCCCTGTGCCACCTCAACAGGAGACGTTGAGGTCACAGCAGTGCCCTTCCCAGGCATCCTGTTTGGACTCAGCCATCTGGATCCGAGTGCACTGCATTGCTCTTCCCAGGGCACATCAGTTCTTCAGCACCCCCTGGGCACGACGTGCTGGAGGTTTGGGACATTCCCCCAGCACATCCTTCCATGGGGGACAGCACAGGAGCTGCTTTGCCTATTTTTATTTCCTATTTCATGCTGTCAGGGCGGTTTGATCGCCTGCAATGAGTTGCACAGGTCTTTGCAGCTCATCTGCAGCCTCACCGTTCCCCAGCGGAATGGAAAATTTCCACCAAAATAATGGTTATTTTTGTTGTTGTTGTTGTTGCTGCAGCAGAAGCTCTTTCCTGACCCAAAGGTGAGGTAGATCCCACAGCCAGATGCAGTCCCAGCCTGGGGCTCATCCTGCTGCCAGTTCATCACAGGAGCTGTGGAAACGAGGCCCCCGTTCAATGACTCAGCTGCTCTTGGGGCCCAATAACCAAAATATTCATCACCTGCCCCAGAGGAGCAGCAGAAAGTGTGAATTATTTCTGGGACAAAATAGCTACAGTTCTGGAAGCCTCCCTGAGTGTGCATTGACTCCAATATTGGCTTAAATCTGATGGGGTTTGGGCAGCAGCCTGGTTTGCACAGGCAGGTGAGCACAGGTAAGGTCGGGACAGCTCAGGACTACCCAGGAGGGTTGGGAAGAGCTGGGATGTGCTGGGATTTGCCCAGTTCTTGCCTTATGACACTGGAGCAGGACGAGGAGGTGAGTTTTGGAGGAAAGGTATGTTTGAGATAGGTGAGCATAAAGCAAGAAGCCCAAAAAAATGTGCTCATGGGAAAAAAAAAAAAAGGTGCTCTAATCCATTCTTCACGCTCCAGGAACTTCCAGATGTACCCAGGTGTGGATGTGGGAGCCTCACAAACACCTCCCAGCTTGGGGGAGCAGGTTGTCCCTCCTGCCTAACGCTGTCCCTTGACAAAGAATGGGACACCTGACCCAAAACTCAGGGATTTAACCAAACCCTCCAGATCTCAGGCCCTGATTAACGAGCTCATGGTGGAAATACCCAAATTTGACAGGAGAGGCAGACACTGAGCTGCGCCCACGGGCGAGTCCTGTCCCCCCTTTGCAGACTCTTTGTGGGGTGTAGAAGAGCCCACGTGGTGCTTCCCTGGGTTTTGGGTTTGCTCCCTACACCACACAGCCCCTCGGCACCCAGCTGAGCACCAGGATGCTGCAAACAGCCCAAATCAGCCCAAAATCACTGCAGCAAATCACCAGTTGCGTGGACGGGGAGTACCCACGACACGGGGGGGATGGAGGTGCTGCCTGCAGCCCTGCCTGCCCTCCCGCAGACACGGGGATTTGTGCAAAGCTCCCAGCGCCCGGGTTGGGCTTTTTTTATCCCTGGCTGCTCTTACGTTGACATTCTTAGCTGTGCCACTGGCTCCAGCGCTGCTCGCTAACCCCTTTTACAGGCGGCTAAATATAGCGCAGGCAGCTAAGCAAAATCTGCTCGGCAGGGCCACGTGGGGCAGCACTGCCGCAGCCACGCCGGGCCGTGGGGGCTGCCAGCACCGGGGGGGCACCGCCAGGGCCCCGCTGGTGGCATCTGTCACCCCGCGGTGTCACATCCCCACCCCGGGGAGCGTCGCCTCGCCGCCGCTTTGATGCTCCCCGGCGGCATCTCGTCGCTTCTCCCCAGCTCGGTGGCCTCGTTCCTCTGCCACCCAGAGGTTTCCTGGGGTCTTCCCGCCCTCCTGGAGCATCTGGACTTCGTTAGCGTTCCCTGCTC